AATGGGGGCCCACCTGGGGGCTTCGAGGAAATGATAGGTTCCCCAGTCCAGCTCTAAGCTCGTTATTGATCGTGCTCCTCTCTCACATGTGTTTCCTTATGAATATTTTTGCGTGGAACGTTCAGGGTGCAGGTTCGCCTACTTTCAAGGGAATTTTCGCAACCTTAATGCAACAAGTACGCCCCGATGTCGTAGCACTCTTTGAACCGCGTATCAGTGGGAAGAAAGCTGACAATTTTGTTCGTTACAGTAAGTTTGAACACTCCTTTCGGATTGAAGCCCGGGGCTTCTCCGGTGGCATTTGGCTTTTATGGACGACAGACGTGCGGATTGATGTTTTGTTTTGTACTCGACAACTAGCTCATGTTCGGGTGACAAAGGACGCAGAGGTGTGCTTAATTACTTTTGTTTATGCAAGCCCAAGCCCGACAACCCGTAAGCAGCTCTGGACTGATTTGGGGGGCCTGGCGTCCACTATTTCGGAACCTTGGATAATCGGGGGCGATTTCAACTGCCTCCTTAGACGTTCGGAGAAGTGGGGGGGCGCTTCACTCTTTTGTAATGTCAGCCGAGACTTTATCGATTGGGTGTTCAACAATGGCCTTGAGGAAGTGCAAACGGATGCACAACTGTACACTTGGTTCCGAGAAGGGCCAAATGGTCGGGTTGCTGAAAAACTTGACCGGTTTATAGCTAATATGGAGTGGATAGAAAAATATGGCTCTGGGCGTGTCCGTCATCTCCCTCGGGCCGGCTTGGATCACTCTCCCCTACTAGTCACTTTCGGCCAGCGGCACTACCGATCGACCGGACAAAAGCCTTTCCGATTCCTTGCTTCGTGGTTACTTAATCCGGGCTTCGGGGATATGCTTAAGGATGCGTGGCATCCCTCCGAGTCCTCTGTGGAAGAGGCTGCTAACTTTACCACAGCAGCGAGGAGTTGGAACTCTTCAGTCTTCGGGAACATCTTCACAAGAAAGCGGCGATTATTAGCGCGCATAGGGGGGATCCAACGATGCCCTCGATATCCTTCGAGCACACATCTTCGTCGGCTGGAGCGGGAATTTCGTGCTGAACTTGAGGCCGTGGTTCGGCAAGAGGAGGTTCTCTTACTGCAAAAATCAGACCGGGAGTGGGCTCTCTTAGGCGACCGAAATACCGCCTATTTTCATAGGCACCTTAAGCACCGGCGACGACGTGGACGAATTCTGGAGCTTTGCCACGAGGATGGTTCATTAGTAACAACCCCTTCTGCGCTTCGGGGTCTGGCTACTGACTACTTCAAATCGATATACACGGATAGTGGGCCACCCCTGGCCCAGGCCCTCCCACATGCTGCCCCTCAGCCTCACAGGGTATCATCTTTGGAGTCTCTGGCCACTGACATCACTGATGACGAAATTTCTTTAGCACTGCGGGACATGGGGTCTCTTAAAGCCCCAGGTGTGGATGGGCTCCACGCGCTCTTTTTTAAACAGAATTGGAAGACTGTCGGCGCCTCAGTTCGGGAGTTCATTCGTCGCATGTGGGATGAGGGTACGGTCCCGAAGAGTGTGAACAAAACCCTTCTTATCTTAATCCCAAAGGTGGAGAAGCCGACTACCATTAAGCAATTTCGCCCGATTAGCTTGTTGAATGTGGTTTATAAATTATTCACCAAAGTGTTGGTGAACCGTATGAAGGGCACCCTGGCTTATTTGGTCCACCCGGCGCAAGCTAGTTTTGTTCCTGGACGACACATTACTGATAACATTATTATCGCTCAGGAGCTGATTCATTGTATGAGCCATCAGCGGGGCGGTAAGAAGTATATGGTGATTAAAGTCGATCTTGAAAAGGCCTACGACTTCCTCAAGTGGGACTTCATCGAAGAAACCTTGACTCTTGCAGGCTTTCCTCAGAAACTGACTATGGCGGTGATGGCCGGTATCCGTTCAGCCTCGATGAGTCTGCTGTGGAATGGAGAGTTATGTGAAGAGTTTACGCCATCCAGGGGCATCCGCCAAGGCGACCCCATTTCTCCTTACTTATTCGTCTTATGTATGGAGCGGCTGGCCCAACTCATATGCCAACATGTCGACGGTTTACTATGGCGGCCAATTTCTGTGGGGCGAAGGGCGGTCTCGGTGCCATTCCTCATGTTCGCCGATGACCTCATGCTTTTCTTGGAAGCTTCGGTTGACCAAGTACGGATTCTCAAGCATGTATTAAGTCTCTTTTGTGAACCATCGGGCTTCAAGGTCAGCTCCGAGAAAACACAAGTGTTTTTCTCCAAGAATGTTGAATTGCAAGAACGGACTCGTTTGGCAGAACTTCTATAGTTCAAGTTGACGCCTAATTTGGGCAAGTATCTCGGAATGCCTATGTTGCATGGGAGAGTGACTAAGGACACGTATGCGCACATTTTGGAGAAAGCGGAGTCCAGGCTTGCCGGTTGGAGGATGAAGTCGCTCTCTATGGCAGGACGGGTGACCCTCACTCACTCAGTGCTAAGCGCCCTGCCGTATTACGCGATGCAAACTTCAAAACTCCCTTGTGCCATCACGGACGGGCTTGAAAAGAGAAGTCGCACTTTTGTATGGGGAGGCTCCGAGGCGAAGAGAAAGGTTCATCTAGTCGCGTGGCCCGATGTGTGTCGTGCTAAAGCTGAGGGTGGCCTTGGCTTCAAAAACCTTCGGCTCATGAATGATGCTCTCCTAATGAAACTTGGTTGGGGCCTGATGACCAAGCCCGATGCTCTGTGGGTGCGTGTGCTCCGGGCGAAATACAACCTATCTCTCTCACCCGAGCTAGGGAATTTTAATGGCCGCCCGCTTTCAGCGCTGATGCGAGCTCTTGTTACGGTCTGGCGCCGCGTGTTGTGGCCGGTGCGCGTTGGATCGTTGGTGATGGCCGTACGATACGGTTTTGGGTCGACCCGTGGCTCGGAATGTCTGGTCCCCTACGAACCCTAGCCATTACGGAACCGCCGGCTGAGGCACTTGATAGGACGGTAGCTGATATGATAAACGGCTTCGGGGACTGGAAGTGGTCGGAGTTTCAAGATCTCCTCCCCACGTCCATTTTGCTTCCAAGGGCGACGGCGGGTGTGGACCATCTCCGTTGGGGCCCTTCTGCTAATGGTCGTTTCTCCACTAAGTCAGCTTATGAGTCTCTTATAACCACGGTGAATAGCCCGGCTCTGCCACTGTGGAAGCTGATCTGGAGAGTGCAAGCGCCACAAAGGGTCCGTCATTTCATGTGGCTTGCGTGTAATGAACGTCTACTTACGAATGTGGAGCGTGTCCGGCGTCACCTCTCCAGTTCCGACCGTTGTGACCTCTGTGGCGATCGAGAGTCAGTCCTCCATGTGCTCCGCGACTGCCCTCCCCTTCGCGAGCTGTGGCAGCTGCTTATTCCGGCGACGCAGCAGGCGGTATTTTTTTCGCAGCCCTTCCGGCGGTGGCTCAGCCGGAATCTCACCACACCGCGGCTGGGGCGCTTTGGGGATTGGAGTGGGCTGTTCTCGGTGGTGGCCTGGTGTGCATGGCGTTGGCGCAACGACTGTATCTTCAATGGCCGCACCCTAGGCTGTGACGACCGACGTGTGGAGGTCCTGTCCAGGCTATCTTCATACGCGCAAGCTACTGCTTCTTTTGCGAGATTAGGAGCGGCGTTGCCCCAGTTCGAGACTCGCCTAATCGGTTGGGCCCCGCCAGATCATGGTTGGGTAAAGGTTAATACTGATGGCGCCTTTGATAAGGGTTCGGGCCTTAGTAGTGCGGGTGGGATTATCAGGGACGAGATGGAGAGATGGGTGTCGAGCTTCCTTATGCACATAGGATATTGCACTATTACCGGGGCAGAATTATGGGGCGTGTTTCAAGGGCTTCAACTCGCATGGAATTTAGGATTTCGAAAGATTATGGTCGAGG